AAGCCGGGGGAGGCTGGCTGTGTGCTCAGCTAAGCTAGGACTCAGTCATTCTGATTAACTAATCGTTGTACTTCTTTGATCTAGACACCAGGTGCATTCTTCACCTACTGTCAGGCTCGGGGACTACAATGTATACATTGCACCTTACGGTGCTTGTATCAATTTTAACGGTTGGCCAAGTTCCCATTTTCTTTCTTAGTTGTTGATATTCTTTGATCCTGACACCAGGTGTCTTCTTCACCTACTATCAGGCTCGAGGACTACAATGTATATATTGCACCTTGTGGCGCATGTATCAATGCTAACATCCTCTTTGACTAAGTCATGGATGATGATGATCTGACTTCGTCAACAAAGCCTAAGTATGTACACTTCACCTAAGGTGGAGAATTTTTTAAATTTTAAACTTGAGCTCCTTATATCCTTCTGGCAAACCTTACTTGAGTATGTTCGAGGCTTGTTGACTAGTTGGCGGACTAGAGGGGGTGAATAGTCTTTTCTTCATTTTGTTGATCGGATCGGTTAGCCAAGACTACACCCTTAATGTTCACTAGCACCTTGCAAAGATACTAATAAAGATTACTAGCTAGAGCTCTCCTAAACAATTCTAAGGTCACATAAACCTATGCCACTAGTACTTTTCATTTTGTTGATTGGATTACTAGTTAAACTAGCAATGCTCAATAACAAGGCAACCAACGCCTAATTACCTAGCTTAAGCAATGTGACTAACAAGGTTCTAAAACCAAATTAGCCACGCAAGAGCTACTTCTATGCTACACAAGCAAGAAGGTAATTAGCTAGCTACACAACTATCTAATTACAAACAACTACACAAGCTTAAGATATATATATATATAAGTAATTGCAAGCTTGTGTAATGGGGGAAACCAAGGGAAGAACAAGGTTGACACGATGATTTTCTCCCGAGGTTCACGTGTTTGTGGGGGTATAACCCTAGGTACCATGCAAGAACCTACCCCTTGAGTGAGGGTAGCTCAATGGACAAGTTGGCGCAAGTACCCCTCACAAGCCACGCTGACAAGCTTCTTGCGCGCGCCGGCGGAGACCACCACCAAGCCGTCTAGGAGGAGGCACCATCGACTCACAACTCGATCACCTAGTGCCATCGATGCAACCTCATGATGCAATCGCACTAGAATCGCTCACTCACACAATCGGATGATCGCTACTCAAAGTATGTGTGTGATGGAGGCTCCCAAGCACTCACAAGCATGGACACTAAGTCCCTTGATCAAGACCAGACCATGGTGAGGGATTTATCCCCAAGGGCTAGCCGTTAGGAAGATCGGTCGTGTTCGGATATAATAGATATCGTATTCCTTGTAAATACTTACCATATAGCCAAATGGATCTAGACCTAAACCCCACTGTAACCCTACCCTCTAGACTATATAAAGTGCATTCAGGTAAGGACCCCCCTCGAATGAATCTCATATTCAATTCAATCCACCAAAGCTAACCACAAGAACATTTAATAGAAAATAGGCATTCTATTTTTTATGAAGCTCGGGGGAGAGAGAGGACCCAAACCCATCTCACCCCGCAACACACCTCCTTTGTAAATGTGCCAACACCACCAAGTGTACACCACCATGTGTATGTGTGTTAGCATTTTCACAATCATTTCCTAAAGGATGTTGCCACTCCACTGCCACGCCACTCGATCCTAGCGACAATGCAAAGTTAGATCACTCGAGTGGCACTAGATGACCATGCAAACAAGTTCCTATTACGCCACCTCCACCATAAACTTCTCATCCTATGACTGGGGGTGAAATGAAATGCCCTAGGGTATATTCCCATCTCCTTCAATGTCCATGCAACACATGCACCAACACGATCAACAATGATAGATTTATTGGTTCATCGATCTTGACACCATCCCACCTCGGCGCCAAGTCTTCTCTACTTTTGGATAGTTTACTTGCCCTTCACGCCATCTAGCCTCTTGGTTTTGTCTTGATCTTCTCCACCTTGATCACATGAGTACTCTAGTAATAAGCTCCTTTTTTTATGAAATCTATTTTAGAGAGTAGCTAAATCATGTGGACTAATCACCTAATTTGGCTAGTCTTTGTGGCTAATCTCTTGGAGATCTTCGGTAAAGCTCTCGAGATAGAGAGCATTTTTAGACAAGATAGAGAACATTTTTTAAGAGCAAGAAATAGAGAACAATTTTTTAGGGGCTATTGCGTTCTTACCCCTATTATGAACCCCAATTGTGATTTTACCCCTATTTTCTTCCACTTTGTGTATTTTTATCACCACGAGGTCCGACCCAAAGATCAAGGTTGGTTTACCCTACAATCGAGAAGACATCTTGGCGATGAAGGAAGATCTGTTGGATATGATAGATATTGTATTGTTAAAAAGTTGAAAGATGGATGAGACCTAAAGTTTGCCCTTCCGACTATATATTCAATCCACGTAGGGTATTTCGATCCTCTATCTCATTAAACCCCAATTATGATTTTACCCCACTTTCTTCCACTTTACGACACCATTTTTACCCTCTACTTTTCCAAAAAGGAAGGTTCTCGTTTACTCCCAATTCTTAACTAAATTAGTAAATTTTATTTACATCTCGGATCAAAGCAATTAAAATTAACAAAAAGCCTAAGAGCAAGAAAAAGACAAACTTACCCCTTATCTCTCGATTTTCTTCTCTCCCTTTGTGGTCGTCCCTCTCAGCGCTTAGTTGGGCGTGGGTCTCGTGAAAGAAAGATGAGCGACCATGGAGTGTCTTTGAGTGATAGAGTCCACTTAATGTCGATCTTAACGCGATTGTGACATCGAGATCAAAGCAATTGGATTGGGCGTGGTGGACTTACCTCCTGTCTCTCGGGTTCTCTCAGAGGTCGCTCCTCTCAACGCTAGCAAGGCCGGTCTCGTGTGGCACCATGGAGTGTCTTGAGTGATAGAACGACATCTCTGGGCCATCGGCGCGCTTGCTTCGCTTTTTGAAGCGTTGGCGCCGTCGTGTGAGGCGCCATCGCGCGAGCCCATGGCCACATAAACCTCCCATTTGTGGGCGAGAGCCTCTGGTCGCTCTGGTACTACAAGCTCGCGCGCCCCGGCGGCTTCGTCCACGCCAGAGGAGGCGCTACTACGCCGGGGGCAGGCGGCGATATGGGCGCGTAACGGACGCCTCTCTTGGCTCGCCGACCGCCCTCTCTCGCTCGTCCGGGCCAACAAGTTCATCCTCAAGTCCTCCCAGGACGGCACCTTCGGCATCCACTGGCCCGCGCCAGAGCTCGTGGGCCTCTCCTACATGGTCAACGTCGAGGGTAGCCAACACGCCAGGCTCCGCAGGTTCATCTCGCCGCCATCAACCGCCCCGGCTCGCTCCGGGCCATCGCCGAGGTCGTCTAGCCGCGTCTCGTGGCGGCGCTGCGGTTGTGGGCGGACAAGGGCACCATCTCCGCCGCCACTGAGATCAAGAAAGTACGCATGCATGCTCCTTAATTAGCTATATATTCCGGCGCATAGTGATGCATGCTAATGCGTTTATTTGAAGCCATAAATCGAATAACTAACGCATGCGCTTGCAGGTGACGTTCGAGAACATATGCAAGATGTTCGTGAGCAGGGATCCGTCGCCTCTCACCGACAAGATCTCCATGGTCGTCTGCTTTCACGAGACGCGCGCTCGCGACGCCGGCCAAGCCACGCCGCGTGCCACGCCCAGCGCGAAGCCGCATGCTGGTCTGGCATACGTCGAGCTAAGCAGCAGCAGCGCCGCGCGCTTCCTCCGCCACCGCCGCCAAGACCGCCTTACCCCACGCTTGCTAGCGTTGAGAGGGACGACCACGAGAGAGGCGACCAGAGAGAGATAAGGGGTAAGTTTGTCTTTTCACAGGGCTTTTGTTAATTTTTAATTGCTTTGCTCCGGATGTAGATAACTGAGTTAAAAATTAGGGGTAAACGGAGCCTTCGTTTTAAAAAAGTAGGGGTAAAAACACAAAGTGAAAGAAAGTGGGGTAAAATCACAATTGGGGTTTGAAATAGGGGCAACAACGCAATATTCGGAAGGGCAAACTCGTTATCTTTCAACCTTTTTAACACCGTTACCTGCTGATCACGGAGTAGGGATAAACTAAAACTTCGTTTTGAAAAAGCAGGGTAAAAAATACAAAGTGAAAGAAAATGGGGATAAAATCACAATTGAGATTTAAAATAGGGGCAAGAACCCAATAACCTTTTTTTAGACAAGAGATGGATAGAAGAGTTTTTTTTTTCTGAACAAGAGTTAGAGAGAACATTTATTAGAAGAAAGATAGAGAAACATTGTTCTATGACTTTCGGCAGCCGACGCAGACACTGACGGTGCACGGTGCGTCCAATGGATAGCTGAGGCCTGTCGCCTGCGTCAGTTCAGATAAAATAAACATTTATATATTTGAGTAATATAAAATATAAACCTTCAATTTCTGCAGCAGGCCATCCATCGTGCAGCTACCACAAAAGAAAAGCTTAAGGATGCGTCCGTCTCCTTGGTCGTCATCAGGCTGCTATCGCCGGTCGCCGTCCTCCGGACGGAATATCAAAACGGATGCCAACTGCCAAGTGAAGTGAGGTCACCAGACCTCGACGACACTGTGAGCGCGACCACAGGGTCGCCTACACTGCGCTCGTCCTGGTGGTTGTGGAGTGGCGCCGCGGCGAGTGACTGCGCGCGTGAGAGGCGGGAAGCGAGCCAAAAAATCGCGCGCGGCCTGCACTGTCGCTTCTTCCCCTGCTGGTCGCAACGGATAGATAAGCATGACACCGCAGGCCGCGCGGTGGCGTGGACTCTTCTGCTGAGGGGCCTGCAACTGCAATTGAGATGCCGTCTGCGTCTGCGTCGGCATCGGCGCCGGCGTCATCCCCCGCTATAAATCTCGTCACATCGCCCACCTGTGCCGTGCAGTGCTCTCAGTCTCCCGTCTGTCAGTCAGTAGTTGAGTGAGTGAAGCAGCGAGGAGGGACAAGGGGAGATGGGGAAGGGAGCGCAAGGGAGCGACGCGGCGGCGGCGGCGGCTGGGGCCGGCGAGGTGGAGGAGAACATGGCGGCGTGGCTCGTGGCCAAGAACACCCTCAAGATCATGCCCTTCAAGCTCCCGCCCCTTGGTACGTAACGTGCCTCGCTGCCGTGCTTCTTTGATTCTCGCTGCTTATTGTTTGCTCTGTTCTAGGACTGCTGCCGTGCTTTTTTGATTCTCGCTGTAAAAAGTATTAATTGTTAATGAAATTGCTCTGTTCTACGGATTACCAAATAAAAACAAATTCGCTTAACGCCGAATCTGGCGGCGCCGAATCCGGCCTCCAACTAAACGTACTAGTTGCTCTGCTCTGGGAATCAGAGAAATCGATAGGCTTTTTATCAGATATTCAGATCGATCGGTAACCTGTAGCACAGCCTGTCGAGCTGCCAAGTTTCCTTCTTTTTTTTTAACATTATCTTATCGTGTTTGCACGTGCTGAACACGAGGGCGGGTGTGTTCTCATTATACATACGTAGTCAGGAATCTGTATCGAAGATTTGGATCAGACTCGGCGTTTCCCCCCTTTTGGGAAGGAATTAGGGTATGTCCTTTTTTTAGGGAAGTTCTTTACATTAAACAGAATCTATGGTCAAAAGAAGGGGCTATTTATTCCACAGCTAATTACAAGTATCATCAGCACTGTATCGCATCTACACGTAACATCAGTGCATCTTTGTTCCAAGATCCGGACTACTCCAGTACAAGGGGACTCACTCATTCACTAGATTAATCAGAACAACAGAATTGGCAGTAACTTCAAAACAACAGAATTGGCAGTAACTTCAAAGTTTAGATCTGCATAGATAAAACCGGCTGTGCATCAGCTACACAGAATTTGTGCTTCACTGTTTCTTTTTTTTACACGGTCTACCTAACACTACAAATGAGCACTTGAGATACGTCACTATGAACTTGGGCACAGGGAATTTGGGTCTGATTGGTTCGCTTCTAAAATTTGCCATGTCAAAGATTTAGTAAGTCATGATTTTGGCTAGCATTTGGTTTGGTACCAAAACTTGCCAAACTCTTATATTTAGCTTGCCAAATTTTTTATCCAACTTTTGGCTTACCAAATCTTTGGCATGACAAATTTTGAAAGTCAACCAAGGCCCTTGTTGCCTTCAAGTAGTCTATCGCCTTGTTTAGATGCCATCTAAATTCCAAGTTTTTTCACTCTCTCTCCATCACATTAAATTTTAGCCGCTTGCATGGAATATTAAATATAGGTAAAAAAAATAACTAATTACACAGTTTAGTTGGAAATCACGAGATGAATTTTTTGAGCCTAGTTGGTCCACGATTGGACAATATTTGTCAAATAAGACGAAAGTTGTACTATTCATCGGGTTCACTTTTTTTGCAAAGTGAACGAGGCCTATGGTTTCAGTGCTTTTGAACGTCTGGACTCTGGTGTTACGATCTTCCATGTAAGGCGCCTGACAACACAGTAATGCATAACATACATACTAGGCATGAAAATTCAAGAACGTTCAGCGTCAAATGCATCAATTTCAAAGGCTTCGAAACCTGGAAAACACCCTTTTTCTTGATTTCTTTTTTGGTCATTTGGAGCTGCCATGTGCGCAGCTGCAGGAATAGTTTCTAGTTACTAACACTCTTGCAGAGCACATATCTCAGTTCAGAAAAACTGAACTTATGTCTAAATGTCTAATGCTACAGTTTAGCAACAGCTCCCTGGGCCTGGCATTAAGCTACTTATTCATGGACTTGTGGTTTTAAAAGTATTTTGGTGTAGCATGGCAATTCCAACTCAACAGTATTTTGGTTTGACAGTGAATTTTGGGTGGCATTTTTCAGGCCCTCATGATGTCCGCGTGCGCATGAAGGCAGTGGGGATTTGCGGCAGCGATGTGCACTACCTCAGGGTACAGTGCGCGATCCGATCGATCTCCTTGTTCATGATCAATTCGTTTTTCATATCCCAGCCACAGGATTCAATAATTCGCAACTACTACGCAGGAGATGCGCATCGCGCACTTCGTGGTGAAGGAGCCGATGGTGATCGGGCACGAGTGCGCAGGCGTGATCGAGGAGGTGGGCGCCGGCGTGACGCACCTGTCCGTGGGGGACCGCGTGGCGCTGGAGCCCGGCGTCAGCTGCTGGCGCTGCCGCCACTGCAAGGGTGGGCGGTACAACCTGTGCTCCGACATGAAGTTCTTCGCCACGCCGCCCGTGCACGGCTCGCTGGCGAACCAGGTGGTGCACCCGGGCGACCTGTGCTTCAAGCTCCCCGACGGCGTGACCCTGGAGGAGGGTGCGATGTGCGAGCCCCTGAGCGTGGGCGTGCACGCGTGCCGCCGCGCCGGGGTGGGGCCCGAGACGGGCGTGCTCGTCGTGGGCGCCGGCCCCATCGGCCTGGTCACGCTCCTGGCGGCGCGTGCGTTCGGCGCACCGAAAGTGGTGATCGTGGACGTGGACGACCACCGCCTGTCCGTGGCCACGTCCCTGGGCGCTCACGCGACGGTCAAGGTGTCGACCCGGGACGAGGACCTTGACGCGGAGGTGGAGCGCATCCAGGCGGCCATGGGCGGTGCGGACATCGACGTGAGCCTGGACTGCGCCGGGTTCAGCAAGACCATGTCGACGGCGCTGGAGGCGACGCGGGCCGGCGGGAAGGTGTGCCTGATCGGGATGGGCCACAACGAGATGACGCTGCCGATGACGTCGGCGGCGGTGCGGGAGGTGGACGTGGTGGGCGTGTTCCGGTACAAGGACACCTGGCCGCTGTGCATCGACTTCCTGCGCAGCGGGAAAGTGGACGTGAAGCCGCTCATCACCCACCGCTTCGGCTTCTCGCAGCGAGACGTCGAGGAGGCCTTCGAGGTCAGCGCCCGCGGCCGCGACGCCATCAAGGTCATGTTCAACCTCTAGGCTGGCGGCTAGGCCGCCTCTCTCGGTCCAGCCGTCTATGTCTAGGCGCCGCCGTGTGCCCCTGTCCCAATGGAATAAAATGACAAGAAAAAACATCGAATGGGCAGTTTGCCGTGGTTTGGTTTGGAATAACTTCAACTTTGTTTTCTTTCGCTTCTGCTGTCGAGCCATTTGTCTTGATCGATTCGCAGTTTTTTTTGGGAGTTCTTCTGTTTTGGCCAAAATTCACTCTCCAAGGGACTGGAACTGGAAGTCTGGAACCGAATGCATGGTTCGCTGAGATATTTTTTAATTATGGAACAGTATTTTTCTCTAACAATATTTCAGGATAAAAATCAGCGTAAGTCAAATTTGAGCGTAAGCTTGGTGGGTGCGCTTCTTTTCTCACCTCCGAACACACGAAGAACTCGCATGAATTCGTGGCGGCCCATGCCTCAAACTCCACCACCCATGGCTTCGCAGCCCACAAGATGGCGGCCATTCTGCTAGCCGCGTCACGGGCTCGCGGCCCTATTCCAAAGCGGGTCGCGCCGCGGCCTTTTTCTTTCCTTTTCTACAAGGAGGAGGAGATCACGTTCCGGCCCACAAGAAGGTGCGCAGACGCGCTGCGAAGGTTGACCGCGCGAGACGAATGCGATACCGGCTACGTGGTGCGGACGTGCGGTGGTGGTGCCGTGTGTTCCCCCGCAAGCTGCATCTGCATGTATATGGGCGGCGGAAGACGACGAGGAGTCGAGGATCACCCTTTCAGGATCCCATACCGGCATACCGCCTTCGCCGCGCGGCGACGAGTTTTTCTTTCCCTCGGCGGCTCGGCGCATGACTTCGGGCTTAAGGTACCTTTCCCGAATTGAATGCACGCTCGATTCGACGGTTGCATCGAGAGCAAGGCACATGACGTGGGCAAGAAAGACCCGATGCCGTCCTCTGCCACGGCCGCCGCCGCCGAGGCAGAGGCAGCCATCAACGCCACACCACCCCGCCGCCCGCCAGGAGCGCCCATGGCCCAGCAAGAGTCAACAGGCCACGACGGCCACACGGTGCACAGGACAAAAACTACCTTTTCCTCCTCGTCCATCCGCTCCGTTCCGCGGCCGGACCGACTTTGAATCGCGCGACGAAGACGCGGGAGCGTGGTGGCGGTGGGGACTGGGGAGCTTGCAAGACCAGACCCAAGCCAAGCCGGCCAAACCAAGGCCGCCGCCGCCGCCGCCACCGCGCGGTGACGTCCGTGCTGCCGTCTCCGTCGACCTGGACCGAGTGGAGCCGCGCGCGTCCACGTCTCCGTGGCCTCCCACTTGCGTCGTGGTCGCGTCGCATGTGTTGTGCCGACTCCCAGCCTCCCAAGGCAACCCCGTACAGTGGGTTAGTCAGTGGCTCGGTGCGATGACTAATGATGGGACGGGGGAAGCACGGATGCAACAGTGGTTTCGTTGATTCGCCGATTGCTGTCGATTTCTTGATACTACAAACATGAGACACGCATATCAGTTTGACTTCTCATCAGCAGCTAGCGCGCGCCAGGGAACCGATATCTTCTATAGCCTATTTAGCTACGTGCCAATCCATCACAATACATATGAAAAAATAAAATCCATATATAAAATTAAAAGGTATCTTGGAGTGTATAAATAGTTGATTTTCGATCCTAATGTCTTGCAACCTATATAGATTAGAGTGAGTTGGTACGCCCTTAAATAAGCCCTTAAGGGTCCGTCCGGTTACCAGAAACGAAGCTAGGAACTATTCCGAACATTATTCAAATTATTGAATCATTCCAGCCGAGAATGATTCTAGAGCCTCGTTCGTAAATAACCAAACGAGCCCTAAGAGAATATACGAAAGTCTTGATTTTTCTTTTGTTGTGCGTTTTTAAATAAATCAACTCCTCGAATCATGCTAGGTCAAACCAATTTAAGTTCATTTCAACTTAAGATAAATTTTTAAAAACAATTTAACTCAGCGTAACTCTAAAAATTGATTCATTTTGAGAAGCAGAACTATGGGTGTGTCCGCTGCGGCTACTTTTTGCTACATCTAAAGGCTATATATGTCTGCACGCAATAGACACCTTTCTACTGTAGCTAGAATAGAAAACAACAGCCACGGCTGGAGCCCCAAATCAGAGTCTATGATTTTTTTTTAAAAAAAACTATGTGGCCTTTAGCGGAAACGTCCTAATAAGACAGAGATTGATTTCCGTTGAACTGCCAAATTGGTTTTTAGCTGTTTCTTGAGTATAGGACAAATCCTTGAAGCGCTGCGTTCTGCCTTTGTCATCTCTGAAACCACTTGTGTGGGATACTTGCCCATCCTAATTTCAGAGAGGAATGGTTTTAGTTAGTTTGGTAGGGATTCTCCAATCCATTTGACGGATAGTTGATGGTGACTCCACAAGTTGGTTGTGCCTCGCAAAAAGGATCTCCGCAGCGCAAAGTAGTACGGAGTAGGAATTAACTGGCTGTTTATTCAATGGTGGATGCATTGTTCGTTTCAGCAAAATTTGATTGGTTCAAAGACGGGAAAAAATAGCCTAAGTTGGGCCTGTATAAACCCCGTCGAAATAAACCACCCGCAGAACCTTCTCAAATGCAACCGACCATGCAAATGTAGAATTCCAGTTCCGCCAAGCATCATGCCGTCCTCGCCATTGTGAAACAAAAAGAATAAATAAATAAAACGAAAAATCAGATTGTTTTGTTTGCGGGAACGCACAGCGTTAATCCTCTGCTCTACTCCTACTCGGATCATTGGATCATGGGGGCTAGCCAGCTAGCTCCACAGCTCCATCTCGCCGGCGCCGCAATCTTCATCCTCCTCGGGGCAGTCCACGGCGGGCGGCGGCGGGTCGATGAGCAGCCCCTGCGCCAAGCTCGCGTAGTAGGAGCCGGCGTCGTCCATGCCGCCGAACACATCCAGGCCCAGCAAGCTGCCGCCGCCACTGTCCATCGCCGGCGGCACCGCGCCCGCCGCCGCCGTAGCGGCATTGGCCTGCGATGAGGCGGCGGTGGTGGGCGCGTCCCCACCGCGCTGGCGCTGCATGAACCCGGCGACGGCCTCGGTGGCGGCGCGCTGGACGTTGGGCAGGCCCGCTGCGGCGGCGGGGCGCGGGACGTGGAGCAGCCATGCGGAGTCGGCGAAGTTGAGGCATGCGGCGTCGCCGCAGAGCGCGAGCATGGCGGCGTCGTGCGCGCGCGCGGCGGCCTCGGCGGTGTCGAACGTGCCCACCCAGAGGCGGTCCCCGCGGCTGCCGGGGACGCGCACCTCGCACACCCACCGCCCCGCCCGGCCGCGCCGCCGCACCCCGCGGAACACCGGGTGCCGCGTCTCCTGGAACTTGGTCCGCCCCGCCGGCCGCTTCGGCGGCGACGGATGCTGCCCCGACGACCCGAGCGACGACCAAGGCGATGATGCCGGCGCCGGGGGCTCGGTGGTGGTGGTGCTGCTGCCCATGAAATTGAAATCCATGGCCGTTGCACAGCGCTGTTGCGCGGGTTCGCGGGGTAGCGAGCGTATTTATAGGTACTCCTTCCTCCGCGGCCGGAGACGGAAGCTGTTGCACTGCGGAGTGCTACTACGTGCTGGGACTAGTGCTCGGAAGGAGAACACGGATTTGGTTTGGTCTCTCTGGCGTACAGTACGCAGAAAGCGATGATGAGGTGCGAGCGTTTGAGATGACTGCACTGCGCCTGTGTTTGACATGTGTTTGAGATGACTGCACTGCGCCTGTGTTTGACATGTTCCGGCTGTCAGCAGAGCAGATGGGGAACCTTCGTGACCGGCTCCACTGTAGCGCTACAGCAGAAAGAACCCAGGTGCTGGACAAAGGAGGGCACGTCTACTTTGCGACCACTCTCTCTCGTGCGAGTGCCGTCTAGAATACATCACCCGCCGCTAGCTTTTAATATCTCATGGTGTGTGTTTGGTTCCACGTGGATATCCATGCATAAAGGGTATTTATTGGATGGACGAACTGAACGTAGATATCCACAATATAAAATATTCTAGATAAATTTGGTAGACGAGGATATCCATATATTGATTAGCGTAGGTTTGGTGTGACAATTAGAGTACTATAGTGCTAATTAATATATTTTATTTTTAATTAGTGATTATAATGATAAGATTAGTGTCGGTGTATATTTATTAAGTTATAATTAATTGTTATTATTTTTAAATAATAGATATAATTACTCAAGTATTCTCATCCTATGCAATCTCATCCATCTAAACAAATAGAAAAATAGCTCGTCCTATCTATCCAACCAAACAAACAACATAAATATTTATATCCCGAAATTCATGGATGATCATATCCCATCCATCATCCTTGTCCTCGAACCAAACGCACCCTAGCTTCTTCCTCGCACGCTGACGCTGGGCGCGGGCGTCATCTCGTCTCCTCCAATTTGCCTTCTTCGTTCCCCCGCGCCCAATTAGGGATGCCCATAAACCACCTACTGCCTGCTCTAACATGCTCCGCCACCTCTGTTCCTTGTAATGTGCTTGTGGGTCAGCGTCATAATCATTGATGATTACCTTATTAGCCAACCAATCGTAGGTTTCATTTCTATTTTTGGCCAATTTCATCCGATCTCTCTTGTGGGTCAGCGTCATAATCATTGATGATTACCTTATTAGCCAACCAATCGTAGGTTTCATTTCTATTTTTGGCCAATTTCATCCGATCTCTCTTCTTTTTAGGTACCTACTTCCTCAAGTCAGTCTTAGTAATAAATTTCTTATGGATATTAAATAAGCTACCAACTCAGCAAATATACCGACATGACACAATATAAATGAAGAGAGATGATCAAAGTTTCGTGTAGTGAAATAAGTTTTATGAAGATAAAACTAGTATATATTGTTTTTCGATACATGAGAGTTTTGGAAACTGGAACGTAGAACTAGCCTAAGTCTTTTTTTTTTCTTACATGTTCCTTCCTGGTTCCTTATCGTTGACTCAACATTTTCTCACTTACTGCATTTATTGATTAAACATCTATTAGAAAAAAGAGTAAAATTCACCAGCGGTCCCTAAACTTCCACGACGTGGTTCCATTTGGGTCCCTAACTCTCAAATCTTGATTTATGGTCCCTAAACTTATACAACGGTGACATTTGGGTCTTCGGTTCTCGAATTTTGATTTTTAGTCCTAGAACTTGTATAGCGGTGTCATCTAGGTCATTGAACTTGCATGTCAACACATAATTAACATGCCATATTAGCGTCATCTGTGTGTTGATGTGCAAGTTCAGAGACCTGGATGACACCACCGTATAAATTTTAGGACTAAAATATCAAAATTCTAGAGTTGTCGACGCATATGACACTGTCATACAAGTTTAGAGACCTATAAATTAAAATTTGAGAGTTAGGGACCTAACTGACACAACCATGCAATCTGAGAGATTGCCAGTGAATTTTACTCTTAAAAAATATTGATTAAATACTTTTCTTTCAATCAACTTACTATTTACAATTTGTTGACTCGGCATTTTAAGTAATTCAAACTTTTCTATATAAGACTTGTTGGTTTAACAATTTTCACAAAGGAATATTGATTCAATGTTTTTAATAGATTTTTGAGTCGACACTTTGATTCAACATTTATAATCAAATGAAGAAGTACAACATTTGTGTTAACGGAACTTTATTGAGATTTCACCCTATCTTCTTTTAGAAAACCATCGATCAGCTTCTTTGATACAGTCCAGAAAATGCAGCATCAATTCTTCTTGGAAGTCTATTATTACAGTGTGGACGTGGAAGATACGGAAACAAAGAGACGCTCAATTAATCTTGAGAGAAATTCCAGGCCTCCAAATAGATGGAGACGGGATGAAACAAAAAGAGAATTAATGCATGCTACGTCGATCGCAATCGGCCGGCTGCTGGGATTATAGAGTATTAATGTCAACTATTGCTTGGTTTTGATCGACAATCGGCCGGCGAGGAGACATGGCGCTTTGCTAGGGGCATATGCCCCCATCTTGATCTATCCATTGTCCAGATGACGCATTCGCTGCCGCCGCCGCCGCTGTATTCCTAAAGATCTGAAACCAGTTGTGAACGAGCTTTGTATATTTGGTGAAGGTTGTGGCATGCGCATAAAGACGTTTGACTTTGCATTATACCTATATGTTACAACAGCCTGTGTTTTTAGCACAAATGGGTTTGGAAAGTGTTACTTTGCTAGACTATGAAATGACAACTTTCTGTTGCCTGTATATTTAAAATAAGTTTCTGGATGTGTACCGTTTTTATGGAGCCTTAACCAAGTACTAATTTCTATCAAATATTTAAATCTTGGTGATCTATGTCTATTTTGTAGTTATACACATCAATGATCATGTTTTGCCTTTTCTTTTTTGTTGACACAGAATTAGGATTGAACTACTGGATCCAAATGCTCAGCTGAAATCGCGACCCCTGAATAAGGATAAAAAACGGTATGCATCACTAGCTGTCTACTCCCCACCCCTTTGTTTTTCTTTTATTTAAGATGTCATGTTTGGAGCAGTACAAGCCATACTCATCCACAGAAAGAATCGTCATTTTACTAGTAGATCATTTCTTACTTATGGTTTCTTGTGTTTTTATTTGAAGATCTTTTCTACGATGACAGGGATCCACTATTTTTGCTTTCTGCTGGCTTCCAATTTATGCCACACTTTTTCTGTTGTATAGATAATTTTTTTTGTCATTTTGTACATTATTTTATGGGTAAAGAACACATTTTGATCCCTGTTGCATTGATGCCTAATCTAATTTTCTGTGGGGGTTATGGTTAGATTGATGTCACCTGATGAAAATTTATCGTACTATAAGTCATGATCCATATGTCTGTAGTTAGCACTTTTGCATATTTGTGGTACATAGGCGTTGTTGGTGATTTGTTCAGTTCGTGCCCACAGATTCAGATTTCTATTGTCAGGCTTGTTATTTGTATTGTTGCAGGGGTCTCTGCCTGATCGGATACCAGAAAATACCCCTGCCACGATTGGACTCCTTTACAAGGTTTGGCACAGGATTATTATTGCCATCAGATATGTATTCCTAAAATACTAGATTTGCTTCATGCCAGCAGCATATTCAAATATATTTCTGGATACCAGATATTTTTTCCTTACTCTGAAGATCCTGCTGCACTTATGCTGGCTATGCTGCTCAAGCATTTCAAACTCAAGCTATTTGTTTGGCATCTTGAATGTTATAAAACGATACATTTCACTATTTTACAGAGTTCTTAAGCTAAAATAGTTTGATAAAGATGATTTTTTAAATATGAAACCTTGCATTGGCATTTTCACCTGATGAGAATTTATGGTTCGGTGCAGCATTTGCCTGTTCAGAAGAGACCATTTGTGAAAGATGAACTCAAGAGACTTCTTGCTGAATGGCCTATGGAGGTGGTAAACGGGCAGAAGAAATATAATAGGAAGGTGGGATACCAATCAGGCATTTGTTAGTACCTTCTCCTTGCGAACATCACTGCAGACTATTGTATGGTTATTTTTGTTTGTACTTATGAAAATAAGCACTACAGTCTATTATACCATCCTCTTTCTAAAACAATTTAGATCACGAGAAACTCTCATGAAAATAAGCGCTTCCTTGATTGTGTTTCCCCCGTCAAATGATTGATTTTTTCAGAAGTCATTAGGAGCTTACATGTGCAGTCAAGATATTCTCTACTGATTTCATTATTGAGATCAATTTGATGTTAGTTTTCTTTTATTCTAAAGAAATTAGTTTATATTATGTATTTTTGTGTTAATTACTTGTGATGAGACATGAGATTTCTGCTCGTGTGGTTGTATATCATGAGATGTTTTGTATACCTGTAGCAACGCATGGGCACTCAACTAGTAGAGTATTAATGTCAACTATTGCATGGTTTTGATCGCCAATCGGCCGGGGAGGAGACTGGCGCATGGACATCTCGATCTATCCATTGTCTGAATGACGCATCCGCTGCTGCCCCCTAAAAGCCCTAGTTTGGTTTTGAATAATTGATGAAACCTATTTAGACTAATCCTTGCATCTAAGTGTGTGACTAGATAGGATGGCCGAATTCAAGTGGTGGAGCAAGATGAAATCCATGGTGATGGTGATGGACATGTGTTGATGATGATCAAGCTCTGGACTTGGAAAAGAAGAAAGAGAAAAACAAAAAGAATCAAACAAAGATATATTTGATAGGGCCATTTTATTTTGCCACTCAAGACACCTAGTGGGTGTGAGTGGATTTAGGATAGATAGCCGTATTATCAAGAGGGGAGAATCTCGGTTAAAACGGTTGTCAAGTGCCACTAGATGAAGTGATTCATGTATATGCATTAGGACCTAGTGTGCTAACTAATTAACCCTTGAAAAATATTTTGAAAAATTCTAACACACGTGCATTATGGTGAGACACTTTGTTGTTAGCAATTTGGAATCAAGGGTGACGTAGTTGAAGTAT